GATCTGGAGATCAGAATTCAGAGGTGCAGTAAGCCATCACTTCCCTCCTGCTTCCCCTTGCTGTCGCACTCATTGCCACACAAGGAGATCACACTGTGCCATTTGCAGTTTGCACTGCAAGAATGAAACACCAGAGATCTGAATGCTGATAACTTGTAATGTTATCCGATGCTACAGCAATGCCCTCTACTTCCACAGCACGTGAGAGCCCCGAACCTCTACTTTGTGCAGTGCTACCTTCTGTAACTGGTAGATGGGCAGCGCAGAAAGAGCGTGGGGAGGTGGCCGCAGCAAGGCAAGGCAGGGGAGGCAGCCACGCCGTGCCTGCCGTGCCTTCCTGGTGAGATCATGAGGACCTCATCCATCTCTTCTTTGTGTATGACTTTAAAGTAGATTTGGTTCTGATCTCTAGAGGAACGAGGCTGATCCTATCCTATGAACACTGCCTATTCCTCCAGCCTTGCTGCATTCTTGGGGGTTCTAGTAATTAAATGTTGCCCTTCACATTACATGTTCTTTGTATGTTTGTAAGCTTACGCTGAGAGCTCTCTGTCCTTTGCAGAACCACTAAAATATCTTTTGAGCAAGAAGAGGTATTTTAGGTCACCAACGGCGAGGCCGGTGCACGGACGTGCCGAGCGCCCCGGCACAGCTCCCCGTCCAGCCCTGCCTGGCGCAAGGGCCTGGCTTCTCTTGCCTTATTTCTGCAGAACAGCCCTGACTCCAGAATACAATTGTTCTCGTCAGAAGAGCTGGCTGAAGTTATAAGACAAAACAGAGGAAAAAGACAGAAAAACAAAACAAAACTAATCCTTTTGAGCAATGGCTTAACCACAGCCACAGCTCTGTAAGCTAGAAAGGGACAGGCACACTTCAGAACAGGACAATTAAATCTGCTGGGATTTAGGCTGGTTTTTCTTATATATTTGGATAAACCTGAGATCTGATGCCATCAGCTTTGCAGGAAGGTCAGATTCTCTTTTTAATTTTTCCTGACTATCAGTCTTGGCATTTCCAGTGCCTCTAGATCCTGAGTGACTCTGAGGACTGAATACTTGTACGGTTTATGTGTCAATCCCTCAGAACAGCACAGCTTTGAGAAGTAGCAACTATGTCCTTCCATGCTCCTTGGACCACTGATAAGGAAACTGGAAAGTGGAGAGAAAAAGGGCAGGGTGCAAAACAGAGCAGAGGATTAAAGACAGCAAGAGCTCGAGTCTGCCTCTTGGGCTCCTGTCTCATTAAGTGTAATGATGCAGGTCTCATGGATCTGGAACTGACTCCCACACCATTAATGTTCATTCGCAGTGAACCCTCATTAAAAAAATGAAACGTAAAAAGTCAGCACCATGGCAACATGATATATGTGAAATAAAAAAAAAAGTATATCTATCAATAAATCAAGCTGGATGTTTCAGAAGCAGTTTGCTTTGGAAGAGCCCTGGCTGCTCCCTATATTTTCTGTGCCACGCACAGCAAACAAGCAGGACAGGCCAAGCGCTGGCAATCCATGGAGTGGGCTCCTGCTGCTGGTACCAGCAAGGGAGGGGGGTGCAGGTCCAGCACGGACCTTGTGGTACCTTTTCAGTGTTGAGAGGCATGTGCCTGTAAGCATACATGTCCTTTAGAACAATTCATATACAAATTATTATTGTTGGCTCTTTTGATTCGAACTTGTAAGTTCAAAGTTGTTTTCCTACCACCCAATTCTGCTGCTGTCAGCTGTGACAAAGGGCTCCACTCATGAGCTTAACGAACACGCAGAAGCCGCTATCGATCCCCTCGTGGGCGGTTCTGGCACATCCTGCCCTTGTGTTGGATCCATTTGCAGCTCGGGAATCCTGTATGCAGGGGGTGTCTGCCGTGATGTCACTTGAAGTTGCAGTCATCACCAGACTTACTGAGTTACGCTAAGATGTTATGTTCTTGCAAGCTTGTCAAATGAGCAATTCCCATTCTGGTTATGTGAAGGAAGGAAGGAAGGAAGTCTGATGTTCAAAAAAGAGAGCAAGCAACCTCTATGCACGAGGTGAACCTCCATGAAGACTTGCTGTGATTGACAGGGCCTTAGAACATTCTCCTGGAGTGATACGGCAAGTCCCTGTGAGACCCAGGGTCTAGGAACTGGGATGAAAACCAACCAAATGGAAAAACAGCTGCAAAAACATCGTGTGTCCAATGATGGATGGCAATGAAAGGTCAAATCTCGCTGCTCCACACAGAGCTGTGCCCTGACAGCCGCAGCTTGGGAAGAGAGCCAGTGACGCAGCCCTGCACGAGGGCAGCCGGGGGTGGCCCGGGGACACGGGGACTGCCAGAGCTCCAGCACAGGTGGCACATCCCCTTGTCACCTCTGGCCAATAATGGCCTGTGGCTTGGGCACTCTTTTTGTACTGATTGTACCTGTCCTGCAGAACGGTCTTGGTCGTAGCCCTTTTCCCAGTGCCAGCTGGAGAACTTCAGAGAAGAGTGAACTGCAGAGAGCTTCGGAGCCCCGCGGCTGCCTCTTCCCAGCTCAGCACGGGAAACCCAGCCGGAGCCCTGCGCGCAGCTCCGGCAGGCACAACCCCAGGGACACCACGGGAAGGCAGGGCGGCCTCCGCGCTGTCCCGCGCGCACCGCTGACACACACGGCCTGCGAGCACGTCCCACGCAGGGCACTAAGAGCACCTGGGACAGGCAAGTGCCGCCAGGAAGCATCTAGGGAACCTCCCGAGGCCGTCGCTACTCAGGGAGCACCGACGCCTCCGTTCGGATCCTTTCATTCCTCTGCTAAAGCAAACGCGCTGCTCCGGAGGATTTGTTCACACTTCCCTGATTATCAGACTGTCAACATTTCATATCTGAACAAGGCACATAAATATTCCTTAGGGAGGGGGAGAAGGGTAATGGAGCAATCAGGGCTGAATGATGCAGGAGCTGGCACACAGGTAGAATGCAAGTAGCCTCAAAGAACAAAACCACAGTTATTTACCCAAGAGAAGAGCAACCCAAAAATCACTGCCTGGATGAAGCCGAGCAAGGAGGTCACCTGGGAGAGCACTGCAATGGGGCCAAAAACTTTCCTTACCAAACCAGCCCAGTGGGGTCAGTCTTCCAAGAGGAAAACCTGAAAAGCCCGAGCCCGCTGCCCTTTGGAACAGCTTGCACCCTGCATCGGGTCTTTGCACTGTGTCTTAATTCATTCCGCTCAGGGTCGGCTGGGGAAGAGTGGGATATGAGCAAGTAACAAACTGTATAGTGGATAATTATGTTTCACAAGACATTCACTTTGAAAGTTTGTCAAAGATATAAACCAAAAGGAATATCCTTCATGAATCTGAGGCAAAACTTAAGTTCATTGCTGTTTTATCTCTGCAAAATAAGACAGACACTGCAAATACAGATCCTGTTTGGGGGTTTTAGCGGCAATTATTTCTTGTCTAATTATTAGTACTGGATTTACTATCTTTAAAGCAGAATTTTGTCACCCAGCAGGAAATTCTCTATTCTATCAGGCAGATTTAACTCTCATTCATTTATCCCTTAACTGTGTTTCACTCGCTTGCTAATTACCAGGGAAGGCTGCATCCA